CACATATGTGATGCGCAGGGGGTTCTAAAATTATGTGATCTCCTGATTGCATGCACGAAAGCCAATTTACGTGTCGGAGGAGGAAGGGCGAAGGGATGAACGAGGAACCGAGCGTATCAGAATGGGCAGGATTTCGTGTCAGCACCAGATCGGGCCAGTATCCATGTTGATGCCAATTTCAATTGCAGGATCTTCATGATTAGTGTTGGCTTGCAGATTCTCTACCATCCAGCCCTATCATGTGCAACTCCTTGCTTTTTTTATTGGCGGATGTCGTCCAGGTGACGCCATCATGGTCCGCCGAATCTTGCCTAGTTTTGCTTCATCACTGGAAATCCGACCGGTGATAGTCGACGAGGAGAGGGTGATGGAGTAATCTAGGTCATTCAGTTGGGAAGGGAAGGAAAGAAGTCGGAGGCTTCGTCACCGAGATCGACAAAGTGGACGATTCGGTGCGCTCGAGGAAATCGATGGTTGGGTCGAGAGAGGGAGAGGCGAGTCGGGATATAGGGTCCGGATAGTCCGGACAATATTATCGCGTAGAGATTCATAGTCCTCTAGTACCGCGAGAAAAGTTCCGGAGACGATGCAATACAACTCCAGATGGTTGTATTGTCTCCATGCGACATTGAAAAGAAGGATGTTGAGAGGGAAGGAGGGGGCCCGGAGCGGTGTGGAAAGAATGTGCACAGGAATCGCACAACAAAGTGGTGGCAGAACAACTGGTAGGTGAATATACGATAGGTTAGGTGGAATTCGATATGGGGAAGAGGAGAAAAGGATAGATAATTAAGAGGGCGGCGGTAGATGGGACGAAGACGGAGCGCTCGTGCGGGGAGGAGGACGGGGACGAAGCGCCGAGGGGGAGGAGGAGGAAGGAGATGGTGAGCAAGAGCGGCAGCGCCAGCAGGAGGATTCTGCACCATCGTGACGACAGGCGGCGTGGGAGGGGACTTCGAGGTTCAGGGCAGATCCTCCTCGTGCGGCAAGTGGCGCTCGGGCCGGAAGAGCCTCCTGGGGCTCGGGTGTCGATGCCTCCTCTTCTTCCTTCATCGTTGATCGGGCCTCTGACTCTTCTTCCGCTGATAGCCTCGTGATGGTTATGCGACCTGGGTCGTCGTCCGATGACACCTCTCCGTGTGCCAGATGAGCATTCCAGAACTCATTCAGATTGGAATTATCCGGTGCGAGCTCGTTCAGGTCCAGATAGCACCAACCCGTAGGATCGTGATCACTCAAGTATTGACAGAAATCCTCTGTACAATTTGCCCAAATTACGGTTGGTGTCAACGTTCTCTCCACAGTGACAGGCCTGACCTGACAAGGATCGCTCGGATTGAAGGAGATGATGCTCGTTGGCAGATCGTCAACAAGCTGAGATAGAAACGTGAGGATCTCATAGGCGACAGTAACTCGGCCTCCTTCTGAATCAGCGATCTCCCACAAAGAAGACCAACTAAGGTGTCCTCGGTCTCCGCCTCCTCCGGCCACGCTTGCGCTAGCACTAGTGAGATCTCATTGTAGACCTCCAACTCCCGGTTGCTATAATATCGTGCCTAGTGACACTTTACCGTTAGCATGCACACACTGACCGTCACAAATTCAGTCCACTTGCAGATGTAAGAAGGATAGAAGGAAGGGATCGTAGCGGGGCGAATCTCCAAGGTTAGAAGGGGATGGGCCCAAGATGGCCAGAGAGTTGGAAGATCGGAAGGGAGAGAGAAGGTAGAGAAACGATTCATCAGCACAAAGGGTAAGGGAGAAGAGAAGGAACTTCTGAGGAAGCGGTCGAGCAGGGGGATCAGTGCTGCTGGTCCGAAGAGAAAAGCTATCAATACACTCGGTTCCCACCACTTGTCGGCCTGGTCGAGCCAGCCGCTGCCGCCAATCCGCTACCAACGCCTGCCCCCACTCGTAGAGGCTTGTGACCACCGCATCACGCCGCTGGATGCCAATAGTGCATAGATCACCACTGAAGGCAACGATCACTGTTACGCCGCTATGAGTAGGCCAGGAAAAACGCTCGAACACTGAAGCTTCCACCAAGATGACAGTCGATCCCAACTCCGTTGAGATCGTTACCTCCACAACCGCGTACCAGGCCCGATGACTGAACAGTTGCGGAAATTGGAGGAGATCGGGACTGAGACGAGGATGCGCGACTTAGCGAAACTGTAATGAAGGTCGAGGCTGCAGAAGCTTTGGAGGAAGATTCGGTTAGATGGCGAAACTCATGGCGAAGACTGAGGAGAAGTATCGCCAGACGAAGAGAAGGAAGCAAGATCCTTGTCTAGGGTAAAGGAGGAAGACTAAAGGCGAGATAGGATCTTCAGAGGGAGGGAGAGGGCGAAGGCAGGGGGTATGGCAGACGATGGGAAGAGAGCTATGGCTGGCGCCGGTCTCTGGCGCGATGCGCACAGTGTTAGCTCCGTTAGGACCAAGTTCCACTACGCAGAAGCAGCCAGAGAATTTGGGAGCGAGTTTCCGATCGCGTGCACATTTGCGTACCTGCACTAGGTCCCCTAGTTTAGGGTAGAGCTTGCCTGCACTGTTCCAAAGACGTCCTGTCTATCAGCCAATCATTGGTTGGTACCCAGCGGTGTTCCACCTGCCATTGGAGGGAGGCCAATTTTGCAGGTTTCCTCTTGGCTAGCTGGAACCATTTGACTCTTCGAAGATGGTTAGTTTCCGAAGATGTCATACCCGAAACACAGTTGTCGCTTATATATATGGTTCCCCAAGTCTACCTGATTCCCAACTCCTATCCTATTGGTCGTCTAACCCGGTTGGTACTCGCTCCAGTGAGAAAACCTTTGTTTGTACCTCAGCTTGTTGTACCTGTCCCAGTCCCGGATTCCTATGTCTGGCCTTCACAAAATCGGGCCTGAGTAGGACTGCGGGATTTGCCAAAAGGCTGCAACTCCAAAAAAAATTGAAGAGACCCGCAAAGACAACCCGAAACGTAAATAGCCGACCGAATAGAGCAAATAACCACTGCGTACCGAAACACCCTATCCCGATGAAAACTTCTGCGTTACCTTGTGTAATCTTTCAATGCTCAACATTCCATTATCTGCACCGCTGTATGGGCAAGTGAATACCATACCAAATGAAACCAAACCAAGCCAAGCCAAACCAAACCAAACCAAACCAAAGCCTAGCCGCTTGTGGCCTGATGGTTACTTGTGTACGCTACACATCTCGATGTGAGGGCAACATGCTTCAGACTAAAAGCATTCGTCAACGTGCAACAGGAAAAGAAAAAGAATAGACAATGAAGTTGACGGAACCAAAAATACATATACAAGACGACATTCCACGAGTCACACTGTCAGGTTTTTCACACCACCCCACACCACATCAAATCAACACCAACACATGTGCACATGGTCCATACTCTAATCATGTTACATCCTACAGGTCACATACCCACCTACAGTTCACTGCATATCCAGTCCCTTGGCCCTTGGGCCAAGTCCCACTTGCAGCGTTGAGTTTCCTCAACGCCTAAATCTGGACATGTTTGTGGAGACGTGCAGCCGAGGAAACTCAAAGCCATATCTGTACATCTCCATACCCACGACCAGATTTAGGCTTTGAGGAAACTCAACGCTGCTTGTGGGGCTTGGCCTCTTGTCTCTCCCCTTCCCAGATCCTTCCTCGACCAAAACTGAATCTCCTCAAGCTTCTTCTCACAAGTTTTCTCCGGGGAGAAAACACTCCAACCTCTGTTGTGGACCCACCAGGTGTGGTGCTCCGCTAGTGACAGAGATGGAGATCGAGGAAGAAGGGGGAGCAAGATGGCACAACGCAGCTCCCCACGCAAGACTCCAACGCACGTACTCCAAAATGTGCAAGTGAGGAATGAGACTGAAAACAGACAATGGCTGGGGTATACCCTAGCGGACTGACGGGACGGGACTGGACTGGCTGGTACCGACAGAGGTACCGGCCTGGACTGGCCTACCCCGAATATAACACAGGCCTGTGAGAACAGGCCAAGGGGCTGGTCTCACAGGCCAACCC